CAACAATTACCTTGATTGATCACAAAGATGATATATTATTCTTTAATAAGTTATACATTCTCTTGTCTATTTCAGAGAATTTTCGGTTATCTTTTGGCGGTGCTTTCATTGGAACTCTTGATTTCTTCTTAACGTTTTTTTCTTCTTAATGAAATTTGGGAATCATCTCAAAGAAATCAAGAATTTTTTTTTCTCAAAGATGAAGAACTTTTGTAAATGCTAAATTGGTATTAAAATTGCAATGTGAAGACGTTGAGCAAAGCCTCAAGACGCGTCAGTTGGTGGCAAATAAAAACAAAAAAACACACAGCATAAATATTTTTTAAACTAACCAATTGCAAAGAACAGCAAAATACGCGAAAGATAACTTAGAATATAATTGCGAAATATTTGGATTGTAAACGCCGGATTTGAGTTTGTTTAAGCGGTGCAATTGAAGTTATTCTTCTTTTTATTATTGCTTGATTAGTTTAAATTGTCTTCGCAAATACATGAAGTTTTCTTTTAATCGTTCTATGAATTGAAATTTTAAAACTGTTTTCTTTTACATTTGATTTATTTTCCTTATAAACGTTTTGAAAAAGTTTTCAAATTTCATATCATTTTTTTTTAATGTTTATATTTTTTACTTCGACTCTCATTTTCACATTGTTTAATTCTTTCATTTGTTACACATTTTCCCTTGAGTTTCTTTTTCTATTAGCCTGATAATTTCTTCACATCATAACAAAACTTTTCTCGCTTTATTTCATAGGTTGTTTATTTTCACATCTCTAAGATATTTATTTTGGCTGTCGGTTTTTTTTTTATTTCATTTTATTTTATTGTGGCAGTTTTAGCTGATCGGCATCGATATGAAATTGCTGGGATTTGAAAGAAAGTCAGAAAAAGTTTTCGTAATTTTCTAAAAAACATGACGTTACGATTCCAATGATATGTGGAATCGCAGGCGTTAAGAATACAAAGAAATATGTTCAGAAAAGACACCGACTGAATATGAAGACATATTAAAAATATCTATAAAATATAAACAAAAGATGTGGCGGATAATAAACATTGCTTCATTTCAGGACATGGGACAGTATTTGCTTAGCTCAGCTGCGATATCGGAAAAGGCCGCAAGTATGGTGCCACCATTGAGGATCGAACACACTATAGTGTTTTAATTGATATAGTGAAAGATGCTTTTTAGCTACTACATCACATCGAAGTTACCAAACGCTAGATAACATAAAGAAATACTTATACTGGATTCTCTATTAATCACTTTAGGTTTCATTTTTATACACTCGCACTTTCATTCAATCTAAACTACAACTACTATTCCCCCTTATTCTCCTACTGATAATATTAGTAATAATATTAGTTTCCATCCTATTGTTGTTGTTTTCATCATATTCATTTTATAGTCTCCGATAAATTAATTATACCGCTTCCCACTTCAAAAGAAGTTAAAGCCAAAAGCAAAATGATGGCGTTAGTTTGAATAACATAAGAATAATAGCCATTTGTCTTGAGTTGTTTCCGGTTCTTCTGTATAAAGACTTGTTAACTTTTTTCTGCATTAAGTTTGGAATAAGGCTGTAGTCATGTTATTTTCTCGTTCATTTTCCAATACTTAAAACGACAACAAAACTCTCCAAGTATAAATTTCTGGAAATATAAATTTAGAGAATGTGTGATACGAAGCCACCCACAATGCCTGCTCAAGTTCTGTTCTAGAAAGGGATGGGAAAAACACCAAAAAAATTCTTTGGCAACATGAAGACAAAATAAGTCCTGCAGATTGACCTATTTGAGCTGCTGATTTATTAAATAATGGTCTACCTGTCAAATAACTTCACCACGCCCTCATTCAACCAACATATGCAAGGGATATACTAGCCTGCATAAATGGACAAAGTATTATGACAATTAATAATAAGAATATCATTTTGTCACTTTTCGGTTACATTCATGTTATTGTTTCCAATAATTTATCTATAGAGTCTTCACTCCTGCTTTCAAATTTTTTAGGAGATTGGTTACTATACTTACCCACGCAGACATCTTAAAATATTATTGCTGCGAAATGGTTTATAATTTTTCTTATTATTTTAAATGATTACAACTAAGACTAGTCACATCTTTAATCTTTTTATAAATGATAAATTCAGTGAAAATAAAATACCACCAATCGTACTAATAACAAAAAATATGTTGTTCCAGATCCTTCATTAAGTTATTTTGAATTCGTTAATTTTATATCTTACTATTACTTACAATATGTAGCTATATTACGCTTTCTCTCTTTATTCTTATTCGCCAAGTTCTTTGTTTTATTTTGTTTGTTTCTAAATTACCTGCATAATTCTCTCGATTTCGGAATATATTTCCATCGCTTTGTGTGATTAAACTCGAGGAACGAATATTTTCCATATTAGTAAGCTGTGTTCGATCCCATGTGAAAAAAAGAAAGTGCATTGAATAATGATGTATCAATACAAATCGGTTTTCTCTGGCATGATGTTTGACCTAACCAAATCCTTTCGTATACTTCCCCCACTGCCTTGTGCCATAACTGCCGCTCTCTTTGTTATATTTTTTTTTTATATTTCTTTGACATTTTAAAGAGTTTATTTTTCTCTTCCTAGATGTGTTTTCATGTTTTTTTTTCTTTTTTTCGTTTTCTTTTTTCGTTTTCTTTTGTTTATTCATTGTTACTTAGGTTTGTAAAACTTTCTGAGCAGGTTTCTTTTCATAACATTGTCATTCTTTTTACTTTTATACTTTATTTTATTCTATGAAAAAAAGTATGAGTTTCTACTTGTTTTCCATTTTTTCATTATAATGCCTCTGTAGATTTCATTCAGTTTTCCTCTCCCTTCCTATACCGAAGATTATATGGTTTCATATATTGTAAAATCTGACATTTTGACATGTGTATGTGATATTTTTCAAACTTCACATAGCGTTTTATATTTCAACTTTCTTCGTGTTTTTTCCAGTATTTTTTATTCATTTTACTTACAAGAAAAAAATGACAGAAACGCTTTACGCTAGCATTAATATCCATATTCGTTTTTGTTATCGATTTACTTAAAGTCTCTTCACACACACACACACACACACACACATATATATATATATATATATATATATATTAATGTGTATAGCATTTTAATCTGCAAAAAAGTAAAATAATAGCATAGAGAGTAAAGAGTTCGTTTACTGATAAAGTCTGATATTATAGACACTATTAAAATGAATGACAAGAAGCAAATAAAAATGAAAATTACAAAATATGAGGCGGAAAGCTGAACAAAAAATGACTAACAAGTATGGGAACAAAAAAACGACATAAATTCATGTAAAGTATTGTCTTTGAAAGATACCTTCGCAAGGGTATTAACAACACGCTAATGTGAAATATTGAATCTTGATTTCACCCTCTGTCTCTTCACCCTTTTAGTCTCATATATTCTATATTATTATTTTGTACAATACATTTTCTCATTTTTATATGCGGATTTATTTTTTATATTACTCTACTTTAAAAGAAGTTCATAGTTTGAGAATCGATTCATCACTTTTTACCTCCCATATACCACCTCCTGTAACATTGGTGAACGTCTTTTTAACGAAATATATTTGTTTTGTAATGCCAACACTTTTGACAACTTGTTTTTTTGTTTTTTTTTCTCTTTTTGTTTTTAAGCTTCTATTATATTTCAGGCGTTTTTCTTCTACTTTTGCTTGGAATTATTTTACAGGCAGTATTATAGAAACAAAAGGTAGCGGGGGAAATCCGGGAAAAGTAAACGAATGAAGATTGCATGTGTAGGCTCTGAGTGACTTTTGTGATGGCATTTATATTGAGAGAACCGACATCAAAGAAAACCCGTACAGAGAGTGAAGGAAGGAAGAACTGAGCGAGAAAGGAAGAAAATATAATGGGAAGGAATTTTCCGAGGAAAATGTCTGTCCATCATGTAATAACGTTGGTTTAGTTTGACTTAAAAAAAAAAGGGCATCATAGTTATTATATACGATTTATGGGTGATTGTTTATTTTGAAACATACTTTTGACTAATGGTGGGATGGGAATTTAAAATGAAAAATAAATACTTAAGGATTTTAACGATGTTCTTTCAAGAAGAGATAGAAAATGTAGAATGGAGAAATCAACTGGACAATGGTATCGAAGAAAAATTGAAACTGAAGAATCTTTTTTTTTTCAATTTACATCAAATAATTAAAGTTACTTATCGCAAATATTAATTTATCACAAGAAATTATAAATTTTAAATCAATTTTTTAAAAATTTTTGGCACTCTTTTGAAATTATAAATTTTAAATCAATTTTTAAAAAATTTTTGGCACTCTTTTGAAATTATAAATTTTAAATCAATTTTTAAAAAATTTTTGGCACTCTTTTGAAATTATAAATTTTAAATCAATTTTTTAAAAATTTTTGGCACTCTTTTGAAATTATAAATTTTAAATCAAAATTTGTTTAGCTTGCCTTACAACAACTGCATCCCGCCAAATAAAAATTTGCCAAAAATAAGGGAGTTTTTCACATTTCGTATGTGCAGATAACATTCCAGGTAACTACAAGGAATTTTTTTACACATTTAGGGTGATCGAAATGTTCAGCTAAACCTAAGTTCACTGGAAGGGCCTTGCTCTGAGAGAATTTAGACTGAATTTTAGTATATATATATATATTAATTTGTGGTGAATTAACAGAAAAGATCCAAACTGAAAAATAAATGAAAGTAAGATAAAATACAGAAAAAATATTTGGTTAAGGACACGAAAAAAAATATTAATACGATAAAAAATTATTAGCGATTATAGTATTAAATATCTTTTCCTTGATATTCAAGAGAAAGATATATGATATTAGTAAATTGGCAATGTGAGATTCATGAAGAAAAATTTGGCAACATATGCCATGTCTATTCATTACTTAGGTAATAATATCTCTACACAGATTTCGGGTGACCGCCACATAACGACGAAACACCGTTTCCCGTAAGATCACCGAAGTTAAGAAACATAGGGTCTGGTCTGTACATAGATGGGTGACTGATTGGGAATATCAGTTGCTTTATACTTGTATGTGCTCGAAATTTTTACTCGCATAGCCGAATTTCAATTCAATTTCGTTTCCTTATATTCCCTTACGCACAAATAGCCTTGAGAAATGTATGAAATCACTTATTCTTTCCATCTATGGGTTAATTAGTAAGTATTGTATCATTAAACTATTATTATCACCAAATATGTTGCTTACAATCTAAACATTTTATGGCCTTAAATCACCTGCAAAGATTTGATAAGCCGTAGAAAAAGAATCAACCGACCTGATGTCCATATTTATTTGATTTTCTGCGAAATACTATGACATTATGAGAGAGATAGGGGAACGTTTGTCTATTGCTACATCCATTGTTTGGAATTCAAAGTTAGTGTACACCTGTTATTTAACCCATGGCTGGAGAACAGTAAATCGATTCATTCATATGATAAATGCATTAGTACTGAGCAGAAGGCAGCATACACAGATGAAATTTGAAATGGGATCACCAATTACATTTGACGCGCTGACAACCATTACATTAATCCAAGGGTCAAAGTGACAGAAGGCACAAAAGAGAAGACTTTAGAAGACACGGAACAACAACAATAATAATAATGATGATAATAATAATAATTGTAAAGTATTAGTAAGTGAAAATGAAGTAAATTCATTAAAATAAATGAATCATAGGGCAAATAACTTTATAAAGATTTCTCTTAAACAATGAAATGATCATTATTTCCATTAGATGCAGATATTGTATATAGTTTATAGATGTTCAGCTATTTGTAACTTATACGCTCACTCATACACATTATCCAGTATGTTTATCGGATACCAGAACAAGATTTAGGTATTGCAATTATTCCTATGTTTGTTGATGCATACGTTTGTATTTTGAATTTAATATAAATTACTCTTGAACAATTCACTTCACAATAATTTTAATTTGATATTCAGTCTCGATGGTAATAAAAGCAGTAGTTCGTTATAGATAATGTTATCAAGTAGACACCAACTTAGTATATAAATACAGTGCGTTCGCAACATTGTCTATTTTCTCGTCATGTTGGCTTGGAAATAAATATCTTACCAAGCTCTTGATTAAAAACAAAGACACGATTGGTTTCCAAGAGACGTTTTCCTGGCAGTAATTCATTATTTTTTGATAAGAGCTAAAATCTAATTTGAAAAAAAAAGAACCTTGCCATGTTATGAAGAGACTGATCGTTTTTTACAAATAAAAAAAGCTGATGAGCAATGACGCGATTTCAAAGCAAAATAAATTGTTCTTAAACTCTCTACACATAAGGTGATCAAGTTACACTCTATGATGTGTTTTTCAAGTATTCATCACTATATACGATTATATGTACACACATAAACACACAAACACACACACTGCTGAAATGTTGTCATTCAAGATCATTAACTCACGCCAGAGCAAATCTCCAAATATTATTATTATTAGTAGTAGTAGTAGTATCAGTAATATTAATACATTATCTTATTAAAGAAACTCTGACGTAGACTATTTACATTGTTCGGACTATTGTTCTCATATTTTTTGCCATATTTATTACAGAGTTTCGGCCGTTGTACGCTCCGGCCTTCTTTATGTGGTTGGAATGTCGAACTGAACCCTTTATTTCCCTCATTGGAGTAGACTGTTCTTGTTCCACTTGCCATGTGTAATGGATGTCAGTTATCAGTTATCTCCTGTTAATTCCCCTCTCCAATTCACCACCGCCTCAACCAGGTATTGAACTCACACTCTTTTGGTCCTGTGACTGGATCTAACTAACGCCTTTATTCACTGCGTAATGACACTATAAACTGATATGCCGATCAATGTACTTCACTGGTAATTTCTGTTTTTACTTCTGGTAAACATATTCTTTCTTCTCCAAATAAATGCGTATGTTAATGTTCAGGTTGTGATTGTTCTGAAAAATTAATGGCTTTTGTGCGAAAGTAAATGCAATAGATCAGGCCGAAATTTGAATTCGGCTCTCCGATTCTACCTTCGACCCAAGCATCTTCTATTTGCACTAGTTAAATTAAAAAGTAAATTCGGTGAGACTTTACTTTCTCGTAGTCCCTTATATTTTTTTTTGTTTTTTTTTTAATTCATCTAATTAATATATTTTTTCTTGTCTGCAGTGTATTACATCATATTTAATCTTTCAAAACATTTGAAATGTCTGCTTTCTTGTAATCTCTATAAAACACGATTAATCCTGACCGCCATGAACGCGAATTTAAATGCACAACAACTTCCTGTTCAATTTCTCCTGGCAATTCTAATTCACTGGTCGATATAATGCTAGCGTCGTAATTCAGTCTTCTAAAATAACTACCATTTTTTTTTTTTTTTTTTTTTCGATGACTGATGTATTTCTATGAACGAACCTATACCCTTTTTTCCACTCGTCACATAATTTTATCGGACATTCACCTTTATCTTGGCTTTTATGTTTTTTTTTTATTTTTTATATTTCTTTTTTTCTATTCTATTCTCAGTTGAGACATACTTTTACCATTACTAAATTTTCCTATCTTTCTCAAACATATGCCTTTTTATGGTATATAATCCTTTTCCATTATTAAAAAAAACATTCGATCATTAAATTTCTTTGTTTCTTTGTAATTATTTTGCATCTATTGCTACTTTATTTTTAATCTCTTTCTCGTTTTATTCTGTCTTTGCTCTGCCTGAATTTCCGGGATGAGGAATTATCATTATTTACACTACTTATATTTGGGCTGTTATCCCAATCTTTTTATTTTTATCAAATCATTTCTGTCGATGTTCCCTGTGTCCTTCTTCAGGTGTATCTGAGTAACCTGCAGGGAATTCTCAATTAAACCCTATATTTAATCAACGGTGTTAGACTGTTCTCGTTCCACTACTCATGTATAACTATAGCATCTCGTTCTGCATTTTTAAAAAGTTTCTATTGCTTAGTTATTACTCGCCTGTTTCAATTCAGGATACGTACACACTACCCGATGTTGAGATTGAATTCATAAAAATTCACCAAATTTTTTCTATTTAGACAGCTTTTCATTTCTACTTATTTAATCACAACTTCCAGTTCTATCTGTGATGAATTACGTCGTAATTCAATCTTCTAAAATAACTACCAATTTTGGTAGATATCGTGGTCCTCTTATATATTTTGTTTATTCTCGAGAAAATTCAAAGAGAATCTGCAATGTTATTCGTCGTGACCTGGCATTTCGAATCACTTTTTCCTATCCGTAATGATGCTTCTCTGTACCTTTTCTATAAATACTTTGATGACATTTGTTCTGAAAAGATTTCCTCCATGGTGTCTGTACTTTATGGATTTAAGCGCAGTCCGAGATTAGTAGCAATGTCTAATTATTTCACAGATGAAATGGCTAGATGTAGCTGTAACTTTTATGCTAACAGTTTCTTTTCTCACACTTCTCGCTTGTGGAAATCTCTCCCTGCTCCTTGATTCAATGTCAACTTTTATTTTCAGTAGTTGAAATGCAACGCCAATCGTTAATTCCTGTCTTAATTCTTGTGCTTTTATTGTCTTCTCTCATTAATAATATATTTTTTCTCGTATTCTCTAACACTGAGTTAACTCTAGCGCCTTAGTGGCTTTATTATCTTGCTTGGAGTGAAATGATTAATAAAAATACATTTTAATTTTTAGAGGATATATTATCTATCTATAGTAAATTACGGTTGAAATAATTTTTTACATTATGTTTTTACATTTAACTTTTGTTTCGATAATGAATAATTGAAATTCAAACATTATAATGAAATAACAAATTATGGAAAATTTCAAGAACATTATTTGCGAAATGTATCTCTTCATTATATTCTGTTTCATGCTCGATCTTCATCACCCGTACTTATTTAGTCTGTCGCCCTTTTAGTTAAATCAAAACGCATCTTCATTTATCTTCATTTTATGCCAAGATAAACCAAACATTTTCTTCACTGTTGAAATGGTACTATTGCAACGAACACAAAATTTACGATCCCAGATTAACTGTAGAATTATTCAAGAGCGCAAAAAAATATCTATCTATATTATAATTATTTTTACTATTTACATGATTCGGACTATTGTCTTCATCTTTGTCATATTCGCGACGTTTCTGCCATTGTACACTGCGGTATTCTTCAGGTGATATGCGTTTTAATTTCGAACCGAACACTTTATTAGGTAAAATGGGGTAGATTGTTCTAGTGTAAATAGCACAAACGAAATCGAATTTCTTAGGCCATCCTTTCTAGACTCCGTTCCAATTATATTAATTCTTCTTCTTCTTTTATTTGTCATATCACTTCAGAGTTTGGGCGAATCTGGCTCTCCATAATATTCTATCCTTGTAGCTGTTATTAAGATGAGTCTTCATTATCTCTCTCAATCTTTAATCTGCAATCCAATTACACAGATATAATAGGAAGGTTACTTGCCGTATGCGTCTGTCCGTTTTGCCCTCAGTATCTCTTGTCAGTATCACATTCTCTAAGCCCTCTTTCATTATATATCCTAGAAATGTAAATTGTCATTTTATGATCCAAAGTAGTATGCAATCTTTGTATCAGAACTGAAGTCAAATAAAGAAACAATTTAAATATCTTTTGTGAACTGATTCAATGAATTAAATCACGATTCTGCTCCGTTTTACTTGAATCTTTTAGACATTGGAGATTTTTCAGTATCATTTCAATATTGTTGCATTTTTGTGTTTTTATTTTTACTCTTATGTTTTTTAAATGTTTACTAAAATGAGTTATAAACTCGACATCGCTAATTTGCCTTTACACTATATTATCCAGCTTCTGATCATGCTATGCTTATTTAACGTTGCTTTGCATATGATTAACTATTGCGCATCAACGTAGTTAATTGTCATTTTTACGGAATTGTCATTTTTACGGAAGCTCTATTCAGTAAATAACGCTGAAATATGATATATTTCAGCGTTATTTACTGAATTCAAACAAAGTGCACTTGATTCTTTTTATCAT